TCTTGTGAGTTTTGACCATTTTGTCCCTAATGGTTGTTCCAGGTGTTCTTTCTAAATGTGTAGTTAAGAAAATTTCACATTTTTAATATTTTCATATTTCTAAGTTCTAACTATTAATAATAATGTGTTTATATGGCATTAACATATCTTTTTATTTATTAGATTATGTTAGCAGGTTAAATGTTGCTAACTTTCATCACTTTAATAAAAAAACAATAAATAATATTGTGTTAAGCATATAATTAAAAATATGATTACTACGATACAAATTATCGTTTTCGCTATTTATTATTAAGCTAAACCTTAAAGTATGAAAAAGAAAAAAAAAATAGCATAAAACAATTTCAAAGTTGATCAATAGTCAAACTAGATTAAATCTTACATTACCCGTGAAGTTTTTTTTTATTTTTTTTTATTTATTTATTTTTAATAACTTAAACTAGATTAAATAAAAAATAAATGAAAATTTTTGAGGGTTAACAAATTTAAAAAATATTTATTTTAAATTAACTAATCATTTACGTGATGGGCTATATGTCCTGTGAATTGAGATAAAATACAAAATTAAATATTGTTTTCATATTTCAAGTTGGTTTAAGTTATATGCGATTTTTTTTCTTATTAAAGCATTGTACTTTGAAAGTACAATGCTATAATGTTGTTAAGGTTAGAATATGAGTGTAATCTTCAAAATTGAGAATTTTATGTCAACAATACCAATTTTAATACTATAATCAAGTATTGATCACGTGATAAATTTGGAGACATAAATATGGTACTTCAAGTATTATTGATTGAGAATTTTAAAATTATTTATATATAGAAAAAAATAGTCAAATAATATCATTTTCATTAGTCGTTAACCTCAACTATAGTCATAACATCATTTGGAATTGGTTGGGTTGAGGCGACATACTTTGTGTTGAAGGCCCAGATACCCATGGCGGTCCTGATAGACTGTAGGCCCTGCAAGGCGGTCCAGTCAGGCCGAAGGCCCGGCGAGCGGTCCGGATAGGCTGTAGGCCCTGTGTGGCGGTCCAGTCATGCCGAAGGCTCAGGATCGGTCCAGATAGGATGTAGGCCCTGCGAGGCGGTTCAGTCAGGCTGAAGGCTCAGTTATGCATGCTTTTGTTTGATATGTTGTATGTAGTGGTACTTTTAGGGAAATTCACTAAGCTCTGGCTTACGGTTTTAGTTTATTGTTTTAGGTACTTCTGATGATCGCGGGAAGGCGAAGGCGTGACCGTACACATCCTCTGTTTTATGGATTTGTGATTTTGGGATACTCTAATATTGATAAACAATTTGGAAACAATGATTTTGTAAACATTTTATGACTATGGGTTGTTTTTAAAAGTTTAAATTTGTTGTGATTTTTGAGTCATTATAGCATAAGTCCACAACCTTTCAAGAGTTTAGGTCTCTCATAAAACGAAGTTAAGAAACAACTGGGAAATTAGATGAGATACTTAGAATCAATAGGGATAGTGAGCATCTCAACCAAAATTTTATCAATCATCTAAGAAATCATGAAAGAATTTCACGAGCTATCTTCACCCAGAACACTACCATAAACAGTGTTAGCTGGAAAGAGAAACAACCCATTGTTTAATTTGGTACTTGATCATCCACAGTATGCTTAACAACAGTTCGAGGATTGTACCATCAATAGTGTTACAGGAGTCATTGGTCTTGCACCAACTAAGAAGGTTTTTTTAGACACTCTCTGAGATGTGGAGTAGGGTTGATCTCTTACTAGCAGTCTAGCACATATAGAAGTCTACGATTATGAAGCTTAGTCTCATCGTGAAGCGCTTGACACTCTAGAACTTTGAAGAGATATGTTTCATTTCATTGGAAATCCCAACAAGCCTTTTGGGTAGTTGTTAAACAAGCCCTTTGAGAACAAAGTGTTTGTTGCTCGAAGGACAATATTCCAAGAAAGGGATTTGATATCCAAAAAGGGCTAGTGAGAGCCATATTGATCTTGATAAGATTCAAGAGTCAACCAACGAAGAACCTAAAGTTAGCCATGCCATTCAATTCGAGGTTGAAAGAGATATTAAGGAAACTGACATACCTCTACTTCGTCCTAATAGATATGATAGATGACATCATACACCTAGTTATATAGATTCTATTTTACCGAGGTAAATGAGTCACTTGTATACAACAATCAGAGTATACCAACTATTGAAAGCTATGGCAGGCTCTAAAAGCTACAAGATGGAATGAGGACATGAAGAGAAAGAGGAGAGAGAGAGAGAGAGAGAGAGAGAGAGAGAGAGAGCTTCAGTCCATGTATGCTGAAACTTAAGAATAAACACATATTCAAACCAAGATAAGTAGTGAAGAATGTGTAAGCTTAAGAAGTTCATTTATGGACTGAAATAAACATCTTACAATTAAAATTTTTGCTTCAATCAAAGAATTCAAGGAGTTTGAATTTCAAGAAACGAATATGAGCCATATACATGTCAAAGCCAGTGGGAGAAATTTAAATATTTGTTTCAATGAGAGAATTCAAGAGTTTGAATATCGAGAGACAAGGATGAGCCATATATATGTTAATAATAGTGGGAACACTTTTATCACCCTTGTATTGTAAATGGATAATATACAATTCAAAGGAAACAATATTCTAACTTAGTAAGTGTAACAACTTGGCTTAGTTTGAGAATTATTTCGCTTTGAAACATATGGGAGAAGCAACACATGTAATGATGGTAAGGATATAAAGAAATAGACCTAAGTGATTCATTGGATTAAGCCAAAACATGGAATCTCAAGGAACTCAAGATGCAGAACTCAAAAAGATTTCATGCTTATAAAGGCATGTCGTGACATTGGGCAATACTAATATCCTAATTCTACTACTAAGTTATAGGAAATAATTTCATACCACATGCTTATACTATAGGATCCATCACATATGTCATGACATGTATTAGCTATGATGACTCGTATAACTTAAGCATGACAGGTCGGATCATATCAATTTGGAGAGAATCAACTAATAGAAATCAAGAACATTCCTGAGTGTCCTAGATGATCATGTTAGTATGGAAAAGACCAATGTAAAGGTTACACAAATGCTAAGTTCCACACTAACAAAGACGATTTTGTTCGCAGCCGGAATTCGTGTTTTTATTGAATTATGAAGTGAAAGCTTGGAAGAGTACCAAGTAATGCACCATAGTGGATTTAAACTTAGAGTATATTGCAGCTAGTTATACCGCAAAGGAAAACTATGTAACTTAAAGAGATTCATTAAGTACCAAGTGTTGAATTCAATCATTGATGGCCATTTTGAAGTTTCTTGTGACTATAAGGGTGAATTTACCTTGAGTAAGGATCCCAAGTCACATAAGCTCACAAGACATATACTCAATAAGTACCATCACATTTGATAGTTGTTCGAATGTGAAGGCATCATAGTCAATATATTCTTATCGGAAGATAATCTTGCCGATCCATTCCATAAGCCAATGTCTCCAACCAAGTCTGATAGTCAGACAAAGTCAAAATGCATTAGATTTGCAAATGAATTGGATCGAGCGTATTTAGTTTAGTTTATTTTAAATGTGTGAAGTTAATCAATATAAGTCTTAATCTAATTTGACGATTATTAAGTGTAGATCTTAATATATGATGGAGATCAGTCATTTCAAATAGTTTATCACTATGTTCTCCTTTTGCATGTTTCGAACCCACTTTCCGAGTATTAATTTACTCAAACCTCCATAGTTGGCCATACTCTTGGAAGTATGTAGTGATTTAAGGTTGTCATGAAGTGTTAGTGGATTGTCCATAGTGATTGGGCATAACATAGAGATTGTGGTAATACTCATGAGTACTTAATGGAGATTTAAGTATTCAAACAACCCACACTTACACGAGTAAGTCTAAGATGATAATATCCTCTCTTTTTCAAACCGAGATACATATGGGGTTTTGCTTTACAGTTTTGTTATGCATTGGTTTACTCCAACGTTATCCGTAACAGGTAGTAATAAAAGGTATGTCCATGTATGATATGATGAGTAGACAAAAACTACGTAGTCAAAGTTTATTTGCTCCACTTGTGTTAATAGGAGAAGTGATATATATGTTCCACTCGATGATTTGGTGTTGACATCTAATGTGTATGGTCAGGTCCTGACTAGAATTGATGTGTCCAATTTAGTAGTTGGATGTAGTCGTCACAAATCTTTATCGATCAACATAATCTTGAACATTGAGATTGACCATTATCCATGTCTTAGGTTCATACAAATATCTAGAACAAAGACATAGTTGATCAGCTATCTAAGGCTGAATCTTGATTAAATCAGAGTTCGACAGTTGCATTGGAAGACTAACTTAAAGTTGTGCGAGAACCCAAGAACTTCTAATCCGCTCCACATTATCAAAACGAAGACCACTATTAGTCTTCAAATGTTGCGTCTAAGTCATTAAAAAAACGTTTTGACTAATTTTTTTTTAATATGCATATATGCACATTTTGTATTTCTTTTTTCAAAACTAACACAACAATGAGACTCTAATGCCAACTTTTGAAAAAAAAAATTGCAAATGAAAACGTCAAAAAATATATATATACAAAAAGATAATTGTGCATATATACACATTTGATGCATATTAAAATGTACATATACGCTGAATCTGTTTTCAAGGCACTATTACCGGTTTAATGGTGGTGGTGTTTTTGAAAAATGTTAACCATATTAGTAATTATAGGGTTCTCATATTTATATGAGTTCTCAAAAAACTCTCTCTCTCTCTCTCTCTCTATATATATATATATATATATATATATATTATATATATATATATATATATATATATATATATAGAGAGAGAGAGAGAGAGAGAGAGATTTACATAATTGAACTATGAAAAAGACAATACACAAAGGATGGCCATGTAGAAAATAAAATACCAAACAATTTGACAAGATATTTTTTTGTGTAGATATTTTGCTCATCGCCTTTATCTTCTCATGATTCCCTTTTCACAAATCTTCCCTATAAAGAAAACATATCAAAATTTTAGATCCTCTCAACAAATTAATTATATTTTAAAACATGTATTTTTCTATGTTATATCTAAAACACGATTTGAACAAGTATTCACCAAATTATAGAGAACAAACTTTAACAAGTACTAGTAACCTTGAGTCTTGGTCTTTTATCAGCATTGAGTTTTCGAACATGATATCTTATCTTTCTAGAAAAGAGTCTACTTTCACGTTTCTTTTTATATTTCAGAACACTTGCTTCCCTTTGGGTTCGAGCTTCTTCCATCACCGGTACCTCTCCCATCTAAAACATTCAAAACTATTGCCAATTATGATTTTTTTTTTACATCATGTCATGTAATACATTCTATGGAAGAAATATCATAAAAGGTCACTATATAAATTTCCTTATTTCCATCAAACAAATGATCTGTTCTTCTAATCTACATAACATGTTTGCAATGATATCACCAAAAACCTGATACATTTTTCAAAGAAAGTTATTTAAAAGGTAAAATTAATCGAAATTTTTAGCAACTTACATAGCCATTGTCAGAGGTTGATTGAGCGAAGTCATCAGTCCAACAAGGACCACGGTTCGACCAGGCATCCATAACATAATTCAAGCTTAAATTTAAACTCTTTTTCTTCTCATTATGCTCTTGATCTTCATCATCATCGACTTCTTCTTCCCAATATCCCCAAATTTCTTTCTTTATGTTTCCAATCAAATTGACCATATTACCCTCCCGATGTGCGGACTTGTCCCGATCACAAACACCCCGATCTTGATCCACTTCATTGATTGAAAGTTCATCCCATTCGATCAAATGGTCCCACCTGAGTTCATCATATGTGCTACTCATAATACCTTCTCCTTGATTCCCTCTATCTTTAATATCCAAAACGCCCTCGAAATCAGATAGATTGTCAGCGTTGCTTTCAAAAAATTCATCGATTATGGAATCTGGGACAAGTTGTTCGTCTTTCTTTGGAGACTTTAACACATAATTTTCCCCCATTTTTCAATGTGTGTGTGGGTGTGTTTGGCAGGAGGTGCTTAAGCTATGATGTGCATGAGTATGAGGATTGAGGGTGTGGGTGAATATTATGGGGTTTGGGTTGCCTGGCTGGCTAGTGGTTGCTCTTTTTTTTGCTGGATGACATGGCCTTATCTTTCCTCTTATTGGTCAGAATATGCATCCAACATAGCACTTTTTAATAATTATTGTAAGGTCAAAAATAATTATATGGGTGGGTTTATATCTTTGAATTTAAGTAGAAGATCAGTTTGGTTTTATGACATCTTCTATAAAAACTCTTGTATGTCGACTTTAATTATCATCGTAATTCGTAAATGTTTCTTGATATTTTTAGGTGTTGTTTGTTTTTTCTGAGACAAAATGTCTGCAGTTTGCGGACCACATCTGTAAACCTCTGCAGTAGAAGAGGTGGACCAAACGTCTACAGTCTGAAAAAAGAAGACTGTTTGTTTTTTTAACATCTGCGGGCTACTAAAATAAACTGAAATCTATATAAACTCATTTTTTTAAACTTCAAAGTGATTTTTTAATATTTTTATGACTTTGTTATAAATAATTAACGAATCTAGATCAACTTTTATGTATTATTGTATAAAAAATAAAAATAAAAATTGTATGAATTAACGTATATATTTGATAAAAACCAACAACTTTGGTTGCAAAGTTATAACTAAACATTATAATTAGTGATCAAAGAATTTGATACATAAATGGATGGAAATAAACTTCGATTTTTTCAATTAAATCCATTAAAAACGTACCATAAATATTTTCTCGAGAAATTGACGATATTGTATTAAATAATGTTTTACAAAATTTGGCAAAAAAATATTAGAATATATTATGATTTTTTTTCATATTTATATAAACAACTTCAACGACTATTATTGTAATAAATCTTTATTTATAAATTTGTCAAAAGTATCATGTTTGTATCGTCGAACGTTTTTTTTTAAGTTTTGTAATTTTTTTTTCAAATTGTTTATCATTAATAAAGTTGGAAAAAATATAAATTAAAAAAATAAAGATATATATGTTTTTTAGGCTAGAAGATGTCTGAAGATGTTAGAAGACTCTAGTCCACATCTGCGCCAAGAAGAGGGCGCGCAGAAATTTTTAGGTCTGCAGTCTTCAGAAAAACAAACAGTCTGCGAAAGCAAATGTTTGCGCGTGGTCTGCGCGGCGCAGACAGAAGAGGCCACGCAGATCTGCAGACAAAAAACAAACACTACCTTAGTCTTTTTGGTTGATTGTAACTTGAACAACTGTTTGTTCGCTAGTTTTATCTTCATGTTGACGTAGAGCCTAACCGGATGTCTGGACCTATAAGGCTGGTGGGTGTGGCATTCGGCTTGCATTCGGTGAACTCGGCGAACACCAGGCCGAGGCCGAGGCCGAGGCATGCCGAGCTCGGCTCGGCAACTCGGCGAGGATGAATCGATGAGAGAGTTTTTTTTTAATCCATTTATTACTTAAACCTCTTTTTCAAAAATTACACTCTTTCCAAAAAATACCTAATTTCAAAATATAACCATTTTTTTTCAAAATTTCAAATTTTAAATCCTCAATCTTCAACTATAAATACCCCTCATTCTTATTCACTCTTCACCCTATTCAAATCTCCTTAATTATATTCTCTTAACTTTCTTATTTTTCCATTTTTTTCTACACCTCATCACAAAAAATGGCTATTGTTTGGTCGACCGAAGAAGATCTTACTCGCTCGTTTATGGATTGATGTAGCAGAAGATCCATACCACAGTGACTACCTTTCGACTACTTTTTGGAGTAGAGTCACCGACATATACAACCGCCAAGCCTTTCAACCACGAAGAAAAGATCTACTCTACGCCAAATGGAGAAACGTACACACACTCGCAACTCGGTTTACTATTGTGTTTCGTAGGGCGATGCATGATGTCGGAAATGGTGAAAACGAAAATACTTTGCTACAGAATGCTCTTGAGGCTTACCGTGTTGAAACTGGCAAAGATTTTAAGCTTTTTGAGTTTTGACAAATTGTGAGGCAGAGCCCCAAGTGGCGTCAAATTTGAAGTCTTTGTCTTCTAATTTTTAGTGAGTTGTGTGTTTGAATTTCTAGTGTGATGTTTCTAAATTTCTAGTGTTCTTGTGATATTTTTAATTTCTATGTTTAATTTTTATTTTTGAATTTCTAGTGTGATGTTTTTTTTAATTACTATGTTTGTTTTAATGGAATTTAAGTTTTAAAAAAATAATATGTTTGCAATATTTATTTTCTAAATTAATTAAAGAAAATATATATTTAGTATGACAAATGTGGCAACCTGTGTCTAGCAAATGACAAGTTTTGGTTAAAGTGTAGCAAAAATGACATGACGTCTACGTGGACTGTGCTAAGTGTGGCATCACACCCACAAGCCTAACTAGACTTTTCATTGGAGAGAAGCTAATTGGACTGTTTGATGGATATTTAAAATAGAAGTCTACTAAACAGGCTCAACTAGCCGAATAGGATATATTTGGGCCGGATCTATATAAGGTCAGATACATATATTCACTTAATCTTGGGTTTTTTAAAAGTAGGGAATGTCTTATCCTTCTAAAAAAACACGCCTGATCATATATTTAATGGAGATGTGTATTTTTTTAATAAAAGTATATATTGAAGAATTTTCGCACCACTGTATAAAATGTAGAGTAAATTACATGTTTAGCCCCTGACGTTTGTTTTTCATAATACGATCCAACTATCGTGATTGTTGCAAGTTTGGTCTCCTTTCAAACTAAAGTAGGGAACGTCTTATCCTTCTAAAAAAAAAAAGACACTCCTGATCAAATATTGGAAGAATCCTGTTGGATTGACACTCATTGACAAGGTAATTTTTTTTCATTCTTATGGTGTTCATGTATTTAAGTTAGGGTTATGTGGTATGTAGTGTGACCTTAAAATTTTGGAGGCTTTGTATAAAAATTAAATTAAAGAACCATATACTTTTTGTAAAATATTACTAAAGAAATTTTTTACTACTAAAGACAATAAGAGTCCACTACTTTAACGAACATAATTTTTATTGTTAATAATATAAATGAGATTTGTGACATGCAATTAACTTTAATTAACATACTACTATTATTTTCTTTTATTTTTTTTAGTAATATAATATTTAAAAAATTCTCAATCAAAGGCCCGTTACGATTGGAGGTCCCGTGCGACCGCATACCTGTACAACCTCCAGGGCCGCCACTGGTGGTATGGGATTGGGAATTTGTAACCTACATTGGTATAATCTTAAGTTGGTGAATAAAAGTGGAAATACTTACAAGAATATGTCTATTTACACTTGATATTGATGATATTAAGTGAGTTGTATCATATTTCTCAAGAATTGATGAAGATGAAGTTAGGGTTTGATATGGATAAAGGGGATGGTCAATATTGGCCAAGTTGGTTAACAAGTGTGTTTAATAGATATTTTTGTGGTATGCATGTATTTTTTAAACCCTGGAAGAAGTGAACTATTATCAGAAATACAGATAAATAATAATAATAATAATAATATATATATATATATATATATATATATATATATATATATATTATTGTTATTATTATTATTATTATTATTATCCTAAAGACCTAAACTTAGTAGTGAGACTGGATGAGAACACCCCGTTTTGCTTTATGTTGTTATTTTCTTGAAATTAGGGAGGGGGTTGTTGAGCACCTAACGCTGCAAGTTGACATGTAGTTAAAAACCGACTGCTTATTTTAATACATCAATCAAGCGCATGTGGAAAACCATCTCTAGAATCATCATCATTAATGCTTTAATAGATTCCATGTACATTTTCAGCTAAGTTGTAATATTCCAGAATTTTTAATATAAACATATATTGAAGATATATGTTGGGTTATAAATACTTGATGTGAACAATAGATTAACAACGAGGATTTATTTAATTATTTCATGTCTTTGATTAAGACATTCAGAGTGGGGTTTTTTCGAGTTAAATAAAAGTGGACCTATATGCAATAGCAAATGAGAGAAGAAAAAAATCAAGGAAGGCCCATGTAGTACTGGTTGGGTTTTTTTACTGAGTGTGGAATTGTGTGCTGATAATATAAACCGTAGGATTTTTCATGATGATTCTTTTAGCCTAAGAGGTATGGGCATTCACTTCATATTTTTATTTTTATTTTCTTATCGACAACTTCACTTCATCTTCTATTAACAATTTTTTTTTAGGGCTAATTTTATAAAAGCCCTTAAATTTTCAAGAACTTGTGGGTTTTACCCTTCAATGTTTTTTAGGTTCATTAAATCCATAAATTTAGATTAATAATGTCAAAATCGTCATTTAATAGCTAAACAACCGGTTATACTCTCCACTTAGTGGGCCACGTTGGCTTCAATACACCATCTATCGTCATCTTCATCCGCATACCTCCTTCTTGTCTTCACCCTTCTTCTTCTTTCTTTTGTTCTGGTGTAATGAATCGAACCACGCTGGTCTCTCTTCTTCATCTTCCTTCTGAATCGAACCCTAACCCCTCACCCCTATATTTCCCCTAGCCACCATGAAACCCAGGCAAAATGTGGTGGAGCTCCTCTAAAACCGCCTCCTTAGAGCCGCCATTAACATCATCCACAACCGGAGTCGGTCCACCGGCGTAGCTCCACCCCCTCTCGTCGATGCACGTCCTCACATCTTCATTATACAAACAAACCTTGCCTCCCTTTCTTCTGTTCCTGACTCAATCAGCATCATCCATATTTTTGAAGATTAGGGCTTGTAGTTGATTAGACTTTTCTTCCTCCACCGGCGGATCGATCTCATCCATCATCTTTTCCTTCCAATTCTATTGATTGATATAAGGAGCTTCCATGTTGTCGTCAAGCTCAAATTCATCGGGTTCCATCATTAAATTGAATGGATCCTAAAGAACCTCAAGTGGCTACAACAATAAAACTTGAATCAGAGCAAAAGGGTTCCAT